CTTTGCCATAAGCGCCACTTTTCTGCCTTTTCCATCCGTCTTGGTCCAGCAAGCTTTTGTGCCTCTCCTGCAATCGATCTAGAGGTCTTCGTATCTGCTGGTTACTTTTGCTTGAAATCAAGTCTAATGTTTCTCTGCTCCGGCGATTTTCGGGGGTACCTTTTTCAGCGCGCGTTGTGCATTTGCCACTTTATTTTCATCATTGGAGCAATTATATCGCAGACTCTTGTTTGTGCTCTTATCCATTCATTCGTCTTTTTCTCTTTTTGTGTTATTCTCAATAGATCTGTCCGTGTTGCTTTGCCTAATCTGCAGTTTATGGATAACTTTAAGGCTTAAGGTCTACGTATCGCATCCATAGGTTAGAACTGGGAACACATACTGATCACGGGGGCACTTTCTCGAAGAGGGACATTTACAGTCTTCCATAAGTGATCATTTTATTTTTATTCTTCTGTTCATTTACATAGTCGGTTTTCCAAGGTTAACATATTTTTTTCACTTCTTTAAGACTATTCTGTTGATGAGTTAGCAAGTCGTACGGGTCACGTATTCCACGTTAAACATGGCCTGAGTCTTCTGTAGCTTCATTTTTAATTTTTAACCGTACTTTGATGCTGGCGTCGTCCAGCCTCTCAAATTCTTCTTTGGAGGTCTTCTGATGACCTTTAGAGGATCGTAGTATCGTCCGCATCTTAAGTAGTTGACACTTATTTTCAGCCGCTGATTTTTCCAATGGAGTGTCATGTAAACCTCCTCTATGGTCACTGTGAATATCCTCGGTTATGTTACGTCTCCCTGTCAGATGCCCTTCTCGATTTTGAACTTGGGTTTTGCACCTCTTTCTGCCTAGTCCGTTGACTTCAACAGGTCGTGACGACACATTTGTTAAACATTACCTCTGTCTTCCTCATATATTTTTAGTTCTACTCTGATGATGATATTCTTCTGCTCTTAGATTATTATTTGGAGTTCTTCTGGAGATTTTGACAAGATCAGAATATGAGCTTCAAACTGCAAGTGGTGTATGAAGTGCTACTTTATGTTCATGTCCTCTACGGATTGTCTTTATAACCACTTTTAAGGCTGCGGTATTATTGCATCACCTCGTCGAACGCATTATTCTATTTTGCACTTGCTTGTGCTTTCGTGAAGCTATTATTGCATTTCCTTTCATAATGGCAATGGGCTGTCTGTAACTTTTCTTGATTCTCTGACTCTTCAAGGAATCCAGTACAGAACGAATGTACACTTAATCGATAGCCTTCTCGAAATCGTTGCATTCCGGGCAGAGTGGAACTTAATATTCGTCTTTTTTCTACTGAATTATTTTTTGCACTTTCAGGAGGTGATCCATCGTATTATATCTACTTTTGAATTCTGCGCGTTCCTTTGACTGTCTTGAATCTTCTTTATTTTTAAGATTGGTTGTCAGTACCTTTTTGAAGATCTTGCACATGGTTCGCAACAATTGATTGTCTGTTATCTTCAAATTTTCGCTACCCCCCTTTTGTAGAGTTGAGTTTTTACTTCTGTTTTTCTTTCTTCTGTTTATACTCCACGGAAGCGGATTTTTTATCCAATAATTCATCCGATAACTAATTTTCATTCGGGTCGCGCAGTTTCGCGTCATTCATTGTGACATGATATTATATCTTGTCTAATTGTTCCATTCTTTCCATTCTCTAGGATTAT